GCCCAATGATTTCGCAATATTCAGACTGTATTTATCGTGCCTCTTCTTCTTCATTTCAGCATGTACTGCTTCATGTATGTCTAATCATTCCCTAAATCGAGTCACTCGATTTTCAATCTTATGCATATACGATTAAGATCGAAAATCGTGTAACTCGAATGATAATAGTAAAGTTACATCGGCTCTAATTACAACGGTATCGATTTTGTATGTATACATGCGAGGTTGAAAATCATCTAATTTTTCGATCTAGGAAATGATAAGGCACACATGATGCCTCGTGCACACACCACGTACCTGGCGTATTACCTCTTTCCAAACAATCTCATGCACCTGGTCGGGTTCTCTCTCGGTGTACCTTCTAAAAGAGCTTCTCGGATCGCTTGCGTTTTACTTCCGTTACCTCTGGCTGAAACCTTTGACGCTGCTCCCGCAGCCGAGCTACGGTTGATTTTCTCCTCAGCCAGACAACAGATAATTGCCGGCTCGGGAACCGCCAGTTCCGCTCCCCGAGATTTCGTCCAAGTGCATCTGCCCGGCCAGATCCATCTCACTCTTGCCGGAGGAAAAAGAACTCCCTTCCCGCTGCGGACTGAATTCGCCCGTTCTTTCTCCCACCTCCACTTAGGAACGCGCTCGATCTACAGGTAAAAAAGAATTTATTTTCGCCAACTGTGTCATTTTCCTCGGCGCATCTTTCAAGTTTCGCTCTGGGACTTCGCGTGCAGCGCGTCTCGTTCTGCTTCTTGCTCGCTCGTCCGCTGACGTTCAGGTCCGCGCGTTCTTCGAATTTGTATTAGTGACACGGTGAATTCGTGTGAATGCAATCGGGAGCGTAGAGTGGTTGGGCCGAGTTTTCGGAAGTATCGAACGGGTTCCACGTCTCACTCGGTCCTTCCCCTCGTCCCCGTGCTCCCGCAGCCCCGTGGTCCCGGAGAACTCTACTTTGGTGATGGTATCCTGCCGCTCGTGTTGTCCGACACGTTGCCGAATTTTGGTGATGATTGATGGCTATTAAGGACCGGGCCAAACCCGTTCCCCTTATACACCCAACGAACCTTCCGCCTGCCGCGAGATAGGCGGATAACGCGCGCTATGTTCCCCGTTGCAATTAAAGCCAAGGTATATATGTATAGCGTGCCTTGCAGAAACGCCAGGGAAGGATCAACTCTCTGCTTGCGCCCGCGGGATTACTCGGCTTCAAGGATTAGTTGTGAAAGTACAGTTTATTAGAACGTAAATAATTTTTTAATGGAAATAATCCTTTCCTAATCTTACATTGCAAAATGTTATGCGTTCGCAGGTCGTAGTATTTAAACTTTTATTTGCGGAATACAAGGTTTAGTTATTTCACGGAGGGAGAGAAAGAGAGAGTGGGGAGAAATAAGGTTTATCTCACAAAAATAAGATTCGTTTCCGTGAAATAAGCCTTATATCGTATAAGTAAATTTCTCACGATTTTTCCTCATTACGTGAAATCTTGTCACGACAACGTGATCGCTTGAAATGTTTATCCCCATAAAATGCGGGCTCGCGTTTCCAACATTCTGACGGGACTCAACGCTTCTTTATTTCACACATTACATTGCAAACTGTGCATACATTTCTCCTCGAATTATCGAATCCGGCGTCCTGACTCGCCGTCGCTTTTCGTGCGCGACATTTCGCTGCAGCGGCGACGCCCGATCGCGGTTGACGAAGGGCTCGAAGGGGTGGACGAAAGGGAGAGATCGATGGTCGGCGGGCGGTAGGGGGCGAGCGTCGATGAAAAGGTCAAAGGTTTCAGGTGTGTTTGCGCTTCGCGCACGGCTGGTACAGGTGCAGCCTCTTCCGCGGCTCTGCTCGCCGTTGCAACAGCAACATACATGACTCTTTATTAACAACAATTAACATTTGGCCATTGTTCATAGGAGGATATCTCCCGTCGGCCGTCGCTACCGCCGCTCGTTTCGCCGCGGTCCGAATGACGTTAATTACGGCGAGACATTTCCACGAAGTCGACACCGAGGGGGATCCCCGTGATCTCGATTTGCAGATTTGCAAGATCATCGGGACGGCGACGTTCGGTTGTAAATCAACGTCAATGCCAGACTCGCGGATTTCCTCCGCTAACAAATGCTTTCCCGCGGTTTATATCGCGCGGCGATACATCGCGTCGCAAACGACAGATGGATCTGAAAGGGCGTAATTGTTGTAAAATATGTAAGTATAATTCGTATTACGCATTGACACACTTCTTTTCTTGCCGCTCCCAGCTAGTGCGATCTCTTATAAGAATCCAAGTTGCCATTGGCGTTAACATTTCAATTTATAATTGAAAATAAATGCCGAGTTAGCTTTTTATAGATGCGCTCGACGACGCGTTTTATCGGCGTGATCGACGTTTCTGCGATACCTGGCGATTCGGCAGACTATCGTTGTCAAAAAGAAGGTTTCTTTCCTCCTTTAGGCCGTTCTCCTCCTTTCTCGCCGCGGTAACAAGCGGGAAAGAAACGCCTCTCAAACCTGATCCTGCGCATCTAAACGTAGACGTCCAGTTGTCAATTCGACGTGGGCTTGCTGGGGCCGATGTGTCGCAAACGGCCGGCTGATAAGGTTCGCAGTTAACAGGCGAGCATACGCGGCCGAAGTCGTCCGTGGTCTCCCGAGGCCACGCTCGCACGAGCCGACCTCCAGGTTACGCTCGGCACCGCGACCAGCTCGCTCATCGTGTTATCCCGATTCAAAGATTTACCAGTCTCCGGTTATGTTTGATGCACCATTATGTTTTCGATTACGGTAGGTTAGTTGCATCGGTAACGTCACCTGTGTCGTCAGCACACGTCGATATGTCAAAGCCGGGAGTGGTACGTCATTGTTCGGGCGTTGCGTGGCGAACGCGTGCGTCATCGGCCCAACGACTATTGAATCTCGACACGCGCACAGCGGATGCGACGCAACCCACGAATTATTGCTTACAGTATCGTCGCTTGAAAAGTTTCCGTTTCTCCCCACGTTTTTATCCGATGTTCTTATCGTACGAATGAAATATCTAGTTAATAAAATTGTTAACGTGTTACATAACACGTTCACAGGAAGTTTTGGAAAATTTCAGACCGTGCTCCTCGGACAGACTGAATTCACTCTCTCCTTCGGGTTTGTTAACTTTTTCTTTCATCTTCCTAAAAATGCAACGCATTATACTTGTAATATTAATAGTGTGTAATATAAAATTTTTGTGCTTACAAAAGACATTACACTCAGTTCCTCTACTTCTCAATATAATTCTCTTACTTTTGTCCGGCCCATCAGAGAGATTATAACAGCACAGAATGTTTCCTTTTCATCATTTCGAGCGCCCGTACTGGTGTCTGATGATAATGTTGATATTTAATACGATATTTTGTGATATTATAGTCGGGTAATAAATCATGTTTGCGAGCTGTTATTCAGCTGATAATGATATTAAATACGCGTCGTCGATAGTTCATCGAGTGCTGATAAATGAGTTGGTAGAAGATAATGAGCTGGTAAAGTCGACACCGAGGATATTTTTGTAATAGCGAAGCAGAAGTGGCAGAAGCTAGCTCCTATATGCATATAATTACTGTAATGTCAGCGATTTCTTATGTTGTGTCGCATTTATGCGTATCACGCGCATAAACATGCAACACGAATTCCGATCAAGCGACGTAATTCTGAAAGAACTTACACATGCAAGGTGATGATAGTTGTATGTGTATGATAGTTGTATGTGCAGGATGATTTCTCATTGTAAACTATGTTGACTCACTTGAGTCTCAACTTGTCTTATGAATATAATTATAATGACAGGAAGACAGTAAAAAATGCAATTAATGAGAAGGTATTATTTACACAGAAATGCATTTTTATAAGTGTATATATTTACAAGAGCTGATATGTAAACATCATTGTATCGGAATAATAACCACAATATAAAATTGGTCGCCAATTTGTTGCGCGTATCCAAAAGTCTGTATCATATTTCGCTGGCAGTAACGTAAAAGTAACATGTATCTCTATGCTACAAACAGTTCTATACATTTCTTACTTGACGACAAGAAGAAGAATTTAATGTATCCTACACGTCGACGATGGGAAAGATAACGATGGCCGTTCTTCTCACGAAACAAATTAGGCGAGTATCGTTAATTAAACGCTTTCCAATCTGCTACGAGCGGGAGTAGTTAAAAAATTAACTACTACACTGAAAAAAAGTGCTCCAAGTAATATTCACTTGATCCTAGTAAAACGGTTACTCCAATATTACTTGGAAAATATTTACTAGAAGTAGAAATATAATTGGCTATATACAATATTTCCTTTGTATAAGTAGACATTTATTTGCATGTGTTAAAATAATACCGGTAAGTATGCAATTCGTAATAATAAAAATATAAGGATTTCCTTTTAAAAAATATTTATTGGACGGAAAAATCAAAATGTAAAAAGTAATTTATTTACAAATTAAGATATTATTGCGTTCAAATATTTATTACAAGTTATTAAAATATTTTTTAATTGATAACAATATCACTTCATTCAAGAGACTGAAAAATAAGTAATTACGTTTACTTGGTTCTAGCACTTTTTTTCCGTGTGGGCAAAAATTGTCAGTAAGAAGACGAAGTATATGTACAAGACGTATGGCTCGATATTGTTTTAATCGTATGTATAGATATACGATATATATAATTATATAGATATATACGACATATATAAAACTGTTATTTCATGATCGAAGATGCGTCGAAGTATATATAACTCTGTATAACATTTGCAAAATAAATAATTCACCTATATACTACACAGAAGAAACTAACCGGCATTCACAGTTAGATTTTATATCAAAGACCATCTTCTTGTATCAGAGTTCACTTTCAGATGTTTCATAGCCAATCAAATGAGCCGTACAGCATCCGAAGATGAACTTAAGACAATCTTTGATACAAGATTCGACTATGAATACCGATCTATGATGCACCGATTTCTCGAAGGAGTTACGACGGAGGAGTCGCGCTGTCGGATCGAAGTTGCGACGGCGCAGCTTCGCTGTACGCGATATCGAAGACGCTTTTCTTCTCGAGGAGCTGCTGATGTCGCAGACGACCACCGGCCTGGAGCGGCAGGATCTCTGTGCAGAGCTCTTCCTCGGCCTGCCTGCACTGCGAAGTGGACGGTTGCGGCTCGAACGATCTCTCCGGCGACAGCTGCGGCGATGGGTGCGGCGCCGGAGGTGGGTGGAGGTAAAACGGCGCAGGTATCTTCTCGTATTTGTACTCAGAGTGTTGCAACAGACGGTGCTGCTGCGTGTCCGACATGGAGACCGGCGGTGTCCTGGCGAAGATCTGGATCGGCGGGTCTTCCTTGATAATGCCTTCCGCTCTTCTCAACTGCCGGCCTTGACGCACGATGGCTTTCAACTGCTCGGACTCGACGTTCACCAGAGGCTTGATCTTGCGTCTCGTGCGCGGCGTCATCTCCGGGGTCATCTCTTGCTCCGCGCCGAGTTTGCCTTTCGGCTTCGTCGGCTGGCCTCGTCTGAGGCCTCTGCTCACCCAACGTGGCAGCTGCTCTTCGTCTTCCGCGGTCTTCTTTTCCAGCTTCCGCTTCTCCGCCTCCTCGCGCTTCTTGTCGTACCAAGCCATGTACTTGGACCGGGTCTTACTCATGTCGATCTCGCCGGTTTTCGCCGGGACCGTCGCTCTCTTCGTGTCCACCTTCAACTTTGTCCTCGGCAACGCCTGCTTCCGCTCGGGCTCCTCTTCTTTCCGTGATTGTTTCTGCGAGCCGACGTCTCTCTTCTTCTGTCTCTCCGGATCGTCGTCGAGATTCCGGCGAGATCGACGACGCGACTGAATCGCTCTTCCCTCCGACTCTTCGTCGCGCTTCCTCGCCATGGGCGAAGCTGCCTTCGGTCGTTCGGGTTTTGTCTTCTTTTTAACGGGACTTCCGGGAGTTTCCTTCTTCGCAGCGTGCCTCTCCGAGATCGATGGTGCGCCGTCTTTGCTTCTCCTTTTGCCCATTTCGGCGTCTCGAACTTTTGTTCTGTCCACTTTGGCGTCTTCGACACTTGCCCTGTCTTCTTTCGAATCCACTTGTCCGATTTGCTTTGAAGGCGACCTAATTGCGCTTTTGTCGTCCGGCTTCGCGGCGGGAACTTCCTCAATCTTCCTATCAGCTGTTACGCTCTCACTTGTTCTACGTTCCGTGTCCTTCTTTGTCACCGGGATACTTTCATCCTGAACTTCTTCTCTCGAAATGTCTTTTAGTTCCGTAACGTCTAGAATCGAAGAAATCTCATCTCGCATCGTTGTCAATACTTCCTTAACGTCTGCTTTTACGCCTGTTTGATCCGGTTCTGCGACTCCCTCGAATTTGGACTCAAGATCTCTGCCTTGTCCACCTTCAACGCTCACCTTCTCCACACCGGATACGGACAAGATTTTCTCCTCGCCTGAGAAAATCTTTTCGGCCAGAAGAAATCTCCCGGTGGCGATCCTTACATCTCCCGTTCTCTCGTCGATCGGTGCTTCGATCGGTGCGCTTGAATCTTCCGTACTCTCGATTTCATCGAGCGACAGATTACTATCCGTATCCTCCTCCGCTTCTGTCTCCGCCGCCGTTGTGACTCTCTCATCGCCAACGACTTTTATTCCCGGCATCACCGCTATTTCAAGGCTTTCTCGCTGCTGCCATTTTTGCCGATGGCGTGGGGTATCGTAAGGGCGTCTCGTGGACAGGGTTGTTTTCCTGGAAACATCACTGGATGAATCGCTCTCCTCCGACATCTCGAGTGTATCAATAAAGCTGCTAAAAATTGGATCGCTTACGTCTACTCGTTGCTCTTCCTGGTCTTGGTCTCGTAGACCTGCGGCGTCTACGCTCTCAGCGACTGTCGCAGGTTCGTCCACTGTGTCTGGCTGACCAACAGCTGAACCTCTCGGATGTTCTTTCGACTCGTCACCAGTGGAATCTTTGTCGGGCGTTTCCTCCCTACTTTCGCCGGATATCCCTTTTGTCCCGAGCGTTTCCTCCTCTTCCTCTTCTTTGTGCTCTTCGCGAAATGATTCTTCTTTCACTTCTTCTGTACACTCAGTTCGCGGTTGTTCCGTGTCCGCAACTTCTTGCATGGAAGTGGGAACTTCCGTCGGTGACGCGGGAAGCTCAGTCTCGCCAGTTTCGTCTAATTTCCTTTCTCGAAAATTGGATGCCTCTTGACGAAATACGCGCGATTCTTCTTCCGCTCCATGACTCTCCACTTCTATCCCTGTAATAGCACCGTGCTTCACTTTATCCGTGTCGATGTCTTCTCTCGTAATATCCGTTATTTGATCAGACTCGGTCTGAATTAAACTTCCCTTCAGCATCCCCTGAACGCTCTCATCAATATCCATTAATGTTTTGTCACTTGCCTCGGTTAAGGACTCGGAGCGAATATCAATTGAATACACAGGGTCGCTCTTGGACGGCTGATTAATATCGTATACTCCCTCGAATATTTCTATCGTTAATTTTTCATCCTCCTTTATCTTCTCCGAGTCGGATTCCGAAGTAGCATGTTCCTTCGACACCTCTTCCGATTTCTCAACATCTCGATGTTCGCCGGTATCCGTCGCTGTAATCTTACCTTCTTCTTCCACGTCACTTTTGATCTCACGTAATAACGCATCTTCAATTTCTCTCGGCACTAATTTCTCCGTTACTTTTTGTACAATATCTATTAGACTCTCTGCTGAAGGCGTCTCTTCTTCACTGTGCTCTTTCGACTCGCGTCTTGACTTCTCTCTCGAGTCTTTTTCGTCCGCATGCGATTCTACAGTTTTATCTTTCCCGTTTTCATGTAACGAATCCGTAACATCTTTAATGTCTTTTAAATCTTCGTCTTTCTTCGAATCTTCGCCGGTACCGCTTTGCAATCCATTTTTCTTGATCTTTTCCTCTTCCTCTTTTAATCCCTCTATGTGTTTCACTGAGCCGCTTAACATTTCCGGACTCTCCGCAGGTTTCTCTTCCGCATCTTCGTCAGTACCGCTTTGTAATCCATTTTTCTTGATTTTTTCTTCTTCTTTCAGTTGCTCTGTGTGTTTCACTGAATCGCTTAACATTCTCGGACTTTCCGCCTGTTTCTCTCCCGCACCCACTTCTTCTTTGACGCTCTCTTCAGCCTCTCCCAGTACTTTTAATTCGTGTACATCTTTCTCCGGCGTAACTTCCTCTTCTTCTACTCCTTTCTCGATTTCATGCCAAGTTTCATGTGTTTCTTCGTGCCCCGCGGTCACACCAACTAATTTCGCTCTGTCGGCGCATTTGCTACAATGAAACACCGGCCTCCTCACTCGATGCTCTTCCGACGCTTCTTGAACGGCAGAGTCCGAAGGTACGGTTTCCTCCCGTCTATCTTGGATCTCTTTCACACGAAAAGCTTCAAATAATTCCGCTTGCTGCTCCTTGGCATCCGGCATCGATTCATCTTTGAATTGTGCGTATTCCAAGTCTCGAGGAACCGCGACATCCTCAACCACTTCCTTCCGAGTGACGTGCTCCTTGCCGAAATCGTGAGGTTCGTATCCGGTCTCATCCCTTCCTTCGACATCGGCTGGCGCTTGATGCTCCACGTTCGCCTCCTCTTTTGTCCACGTATCTAATGTAAAATCGTCGGAGAACCGTTGCATTATTTCAGCGTCTTTTGCGTCCACGATGTCTTCTTTGTGCGTGCTCGTATCCATTGCCGAATGGAGCGCACTTTCCCGGTCGATATCTCCCGTCTGCTGTTTCGTCACGAAGTCATCGGTGAATCTCTCGCTCACACGGTCCACCTTCCGCCTTGATTCTCGTTGATCCACGTGGGATATCGACGGGGCGCCCGAGAACTCGGTGCTCTTCTTGTCGGAGTCCCGAGCGACGAAGGAATCTTTCTTGCCGTCCGCTCGATCGGAGCTCGTGCTCGTGCTGGGTTCTTCCAGGACGTTCTCTCTACGGCCGATGGCCGCCAGCTTTTGCGCGTGCGACGATAATTTAACGGCGGTTTTCTCAGTTCTCGGCTCAGACGTGCTGCTTTCCTTGCTCACCGCGTCTTTGCGCTTCTCGGCTTCTCGATCCTTCTGCTTCTTCCGCTCGATCTGCGTCTGCATCTGCTTCTTCACTTTCGTGTGACTGCGGCTGCTCGTCTGCTTGTGCCTCGCGACTTCTTGGCGCAGTCCCTTCTTCGACTTCTTCTTCTCGCACGCGTCTTCGTATTCGGAGCTGCCGGGACTCATGATCTGTTGATACTTGATTTGTTGCCGCGTCTTCGTGGATGCCTCCTTCGATGTGCTCGGCGAGGCGTCAGAACGCTTGTGCTCGTCCGTTTTCGTCTTCGACGTGCCTCGGTCCGAGTCTCTCTTGGAGTCCTTCGACGTCTTCGACTTCTCTCGGCTAGTGCTGTCCTCCCCGGCGGCCTGCCGCGTCTTCTTATCGGCGAGTTTGCTCAGCTTCTTCGTCAGCATCGTGATCTCTCGCTCTAAGACCCGGAAGCTAGGTTTTATGACGGACTCTATCTTCTTCTGCTTCTTCACCCTGCTCTCCTTCCTCGAGCATCTCCTCTCCGTCGTTTCGCGAATATACTTACCGTGATCGATGCTCACCTCCGGCGACGACGAGATCTCCGTCGGTTTCTCGTCGGAAATAGTCTCATATCGCTGCTTACTGACCTCCGTCGACGAAGTCGAGCCGTTCTTCCCCTCGCCCAGCGCCTCGTATCCAACGCTACTGCTCTCTTCGGCGGCTTTTCTACGAGCTCTCGGCGATTTTCCTTCCTTCTTCGAATAGGAAGCCCCGTTCTCGTCGAGGGAATCCGAAATTTCACGCAGTACCTCAGGTTCCAAAGACACCTTCCGAGCTTCCTTCACCTCCTTCACTTTCTTCCTCAAAATATTCAGTCGCTTGTCGAAACACTCGTTCTCCTCTTCCTCGATGGGCGACTTCATCCACAGCGTTCGCGTTCTCTTCGACTCGCTGTCGCCGTAGCGTTTCTTCGTCTTGATCTTCTTGCGATTGCGACTCTCCTCGTCGGACTCGTCGTTGTCGCTTCTGCTTCTGGCTTGCCGCTCCGTTTGCGTCGCAGCGGCTCTGTCGGTCTGAGTCGCGATGGCCACCTGTCCGGGCAAACTTTGAGTCTCCAGGTAACTCGCGGCGTCTACCATTATCGCGCCGCCGGCATGCTTGGCCTCTCTTTCCAGAAGCAATCGCGTCAACAAGGCGTTCTGCCTCGCCAGCTCCAAGTCGTGGAACGCGTACGACTGCACCGTCGGAGCTTGCTCCTTCGGAATGGACGGCCTGTCTGTGGACATTCCGGGCACGGCCATCGGAATCTCCTGACGACGCACATCGCGGATGTGCGACTCCACGTCCATCTTCTGCGCCTCGTACGCGTCCTCCATCGCCATCTTCTGCATTTCTTCCTCGTGTCGATGCGATCGGATCTCCAGTTCTTCCGGCAGTAAGAGGACCTCTTGTTGATGCTGATACAAGTTCTTCGGGCGTTGATGGGACTCGACGGTGCGCACCACCTCGGGCTCCTGCATCGACACCTCGTGCCTCGCTTTCTGGTCCTGCATAAACCGTTGCAGAAGCACATCCTTGCCGTCCACGATCAGAGTCGTCGGGTAATGAGGATGTTGGCTCATTATGTCGTCCTCCACTTGTCCCCGTGTTACCAATTGAAGCACCTCCGCGTTACCCTCACGATAGAAATGTTGCTCTCTTACCGCTGGCTCATTGTTCGACTCGGGATCGATGTATCTGTAATATAATCGAAACAGTGCGAGTGTCATGAAAAAAATCTCTTTATTCTAATTGACTTAAATTATATTGCAACAATATGTTCCACAAATTTCTACGTTTTTATTTTTTCAAGGCTGAAAACTAACTAAGGTTTTAATGAGAACCGAGATTTTTTATTTTGTAATGAAAAGAATCAAATATTTTCGTGAGAATTGTAATCTTAAAAATGACACCAGTTTTCAAAGTGGAAACTAACGTAAAAAATGTATAACAATGTTTATTCTGCAATTTTTTATTCCTAATTTAAGGAATGAATTATCCTGAAATTCTCCTGGAATCGTCCAGAGCTTATAATCTTCGAGAGAAACTTTTATCATTTTTTGAAATATTATCAATTATAGCGCGATCTCCGGAGAGGATGTTTTACTGTAGCATATTCTAACCACCTTTGTCTGTAAGCTTGACGCAGAATATCCGAACCTCGTTCGATCTCGTGCCGTTGCAAGGAATCCGCGTCGGTGGCATCGTAGTCTCTAACTTTCCTTTCCTCGACATCCTCCACGTACATTCTCTCCTGGTCCTCAATCCTCCTCCTCCTCGAAGGATCATAGGCCGGGCCGTCGCGTAGTCTCAGTGATTCCACATTCGCTTGATCGATCGGAGGGCGCTCCGAAATGTACACAACATCACCAGGAAGCGACGCCAAGCCGCCGTTCTTTGTATTTCGACGATTGAACTGCCAATTTCGTCGAGTCGGATCCGCACTCCAAGCTTGTTTCTTTCCGTTCGACGTAACTGCGCATTTTTACCGTTTTTATAAATAAATTAAAATACTCTTATATATAATGGCAGATTTAATTATTATATGTTATTAGAATTATTAATTATATTATGATTATTATATAGAAATAGCTCTGCACGCACACACAAAATTGCAGAGTACTGTAATTGTACAATTGAATGCAGTTAAAACGCTATTTATAAGGGTTTGTCTTGAAAAGAATGCGTGTCTCTTTTCGGAAGTGAAGTAATGAATAAAAAGCAATTACTCTCGATCATGGTCAGTGGCTTTCGATGAATATGTCGTTTCGGTCGACCGTTGGACCGAGCAATAAGCGTTTCCGACGAATACACTCTGCGTTTCCTGGGTGCCATGTAAAATGGGCAGCCCGGACATATACAACAGATAATAAGCGCTGCGATTGCCAGCAGCATCAGAAGACCCAGAATAATTAACAGCCAGAAAAGCAGCTTATTCTCCGCTTTATACACAGTCTGAAAAAGAATCCTGATCTCTCATTTCTCTCAAATATGAGATTGCTGATTGGAACAAAAGAAAAGTATGATTCGTAATACTCGTAATATTATCGTAAAAGAATTTTTAACAAAATGCGATGTAACGTACAGAAAGAAAGATTTCTTCGGATTTAGTATACGTATTTATTTAACTTGAGTTTGTTTAATATGAACAACATAATTTAGTAACTAAACTAAATAATAATAACGAAACTAAACAATCACGTTTATTGAATCAAACATCCATTTGTTTGCTTTGTTCCAAAAGATAAATTGGTTTCGATTAAAGAAATCGTATTAAATACAAATAAATTTTTTTCTTCGCGGCAAATAAAGAATTCAAGACAAGTAAAACAGAATATTAAAAGACAAATCTGTTGGAATGCTATCGATTAAGGGATGAGAATCGATAGTGCCGAATTTAACAATGGCCAATCATCCACCGACTTGTACGACGACGAAGTCAACGAGTACGAACAATTAACGTTTACTCACTACTTCCTCGTGAACGCTGCTGATCGTTTTGTTTACGTAGGTCCCCGTGCTGTCTCCCCCAATGGGAATTATTCCATCGATCGGAAGTTTCGTAGTAGTCCCGTAACCGTACGTCATTGATACGTTGGCGGTGCCCGCGCCGCTGATGATGCCAACCCCATTCGCAGCTAAGGTATTGCGAATTTTCTCCACGTCCACCAAAGGTGCGCCGGGCTCGGTCTGTTCGACGCGAGCCACTACAATTGTTCTGGATTGCGAAGTAAAAATGTCGAAGATATAATGTGATCAATTTCTAGTTCTCGAAAGCCTAGTCGACGTCTTCCTTCCTAGCCTAGTCCTCCTTCATTTTTAACCGAACTCCTCAAGATCCCAATAAATGCCAACTAACAGTAATATTATAACAATGTTATAATTTCGCAATCAACAATGTAACTGTTATATACAATGTGTGTTATATTGCATTGTTAAATGAGTAATTATAACATTGATATAACGTTACAACTGGTTGGGATTTATTGGGATGTCAACGATTTGAGCGAATAATTTAAGAATTTTCGAGGTTCTCACGTGTCTTAATATATATTCTGTTTTTCTAGGATGAAGCATGCAGCGTGCTGAAAAACATCGATAAGTCGCGTTTAACCTTTTCCCTTCCACCGGTACGCTACTGCCGGTGACGCCGGGTCGATTGTCCGGCACGTAAGGACGTGTATCCAATACGGTCACTCGCCCGCCTGTTATAGTGGCCAATGTCTCGGCGGTTCTCGTTAAATTTGGGTGTTCTCCTGGCACCACGAACATCATTATACGAGCCTCCATGGCGCTTCCTCGAATGATCGAGATCCGTGTCTCGCTCGCGAGATGTGGCACACCTGGAACGGCGCGTTAATTAAGAGATGATAATTGACATTTCCGAGTCTCAACATTCTGTCGTAATCTGTGAAATTTTCCGTTTTTAATTCAAACGAGGAATTCGTGATTTAAATGAAAGTTTACATTTTTTATTTAGCTTTACAGTTTCATTTTAATTGCCTCGTAGATACGTTTATAAATTAAATATTCACCGAGGTCATACGCTCTGGCAGTTAAAGTGTATAAAATATCGCTCTCCCGTTTCCTCCGACGCTTTTTTATCTCGCCGAATTGGCGTTTTAATTCGGTTCTGTTTGAAACGTTGTCCGTTATGTTTGTTGTGTTCGGGAACATTGTCGTTCTCGTTACGATTTCTCGTATTGTTTGTTCCGGTTGAAGGAGTCCTTTGTGTGACTTTTTCGAGAAATTGTCATAGACGCTTTGTTTCTTCCGCCTGAATTTCGTAATAGGCGAACGTAACATCAACTCTCCGGTAATTTCGTTCAGGTAAAATTTATTTTCATAATTTCCGTGAATTAGTTCGTAACGAATTTCGTTGTTCGGTGGCTCGGCATCGGCGTCTGTGGCCTGCATACGCAAAATAAAATAGCTTAGAATAAGTTTTCATATATACACGAAGAAAAATAATTTTGCTGTTGTAGCGAAACCGTCATTTGCTATATGCATATTCATTACGACAACGATGACATTTAATTGGCATAATTAAATTAGCAAATTATTTATAATTAGAACAATTTGTTGTCGGGATAAAAAATATTCTGTTGAATAAATTTGTTTGTTAGGACACATTAATTTGCTGTTAGAACAAAATGATATCTTCCTACATTTATTAATTTGTTCTGCAAAATAATTTATAGATTAAGCGAAATAATCCAACGAATGGCAATTAATATTCTTAACAAATCGTTTTATTGTCCGTATAGTAACTGACAGATTTTATTGCGACCGCATAAAATTTGCTGTGCCAGCAAATTATTTCTCTCCGTGTATATATTTGCTCGTAGCATGAATTTAATATTGATAAGCGTACCTTTATGAATGCTGGCGTTGTGAAATTCGTCAGATCGGAATTTAACGTGAACTCGTAGACGTCCATCTCGAAAACCGGCGCATTGTCATTCACGTCGAGCAAGTTCACTATTAAAGATACCGTGCCCGTGTTACCTTTGCCGTTCTCGTCGCATGCATTTACGGTCAGTTGGAGTTGCGCTGCCATTTCACGGTCCAAAGACGACCCCATCGCAACTGTGATTAAACCGGTATCAGGATCCATAGTGAAAGCGTCGCTTCCTCGCCCCGTTATGCCCGTATATTTAATACTGCCGAAGAGCCCGGTGTCTTTATCGGTTGCGCGCACCTGTCGACAAAATCACAAAAAGAATTTTGTTTCAGACGGGACTACATTCTTGGATAAATTCGTCACGACGAAAGTTGATCTTAGGAAGCGCACTTTTTCATTTATGTTAGAAAATTGATTAAAATACTGAATTATGAAAATTAATTGAATTAAATTACGAATTATGAAAATTGTATTAACCACGTATTAAAAATTACTTGAATAACTCGTGCTCCAGCGGTGACGTTTTCCGATAATGTAACTTCATAAGATTCCTCGTCGAACACCGGCGAATTATCGTTGACATCTTCTATAAATATTAAGACCGCTGCTGACGCCGATAGATTCGTCGCTGGACCGACCTCTTGAGCAATAATCTATGACACATATTGCGATACGTAAAAAATATATCAAATGTTACGAATTAGATATGTTAAATAAAAACGTAGATATATCGTAAAATAACAGTAATGATATAATCGAGTGATTTTGTTAAATAATCTTACATTAGGAATGCGTACCTTAAAGGATAAACTTTTATACGTTTCATAATCGATGAGTGTGTTGTCTCGCACCGAAATGATAAAGTCCGCCGTTCTTTCAGCGACAGTTGGGTTAATTTCAAAAGTGCCATTATTATTTCGCAACTTTAATGCAAACACGCCAGCCTTTCCGATATCTTCATCGCGGACTCTGGTCGTGTATTGCTCCGGAAACGTTATCGCGGAACCTGGCTCCAAATTCTCTGGTATCGATGTAATGTATCTATAAATAGTATGTGTCAAGTAAATATGACAACTACACAGGGAAAAAGATTTCTTTGAACTTAACAAAATTGTTTTAATTGAAACAGATTTGTCTTTTGAAATGGAACAAATAAACGAATGTTTGACTCAACAAATAAGATGGTTTCACAAACAATAAATCTTTACGTCAAATAACACGTATCTTTTATACTTTCATTTAAACATTTCAATGGTTTTTATAAACAATAAATTATTTAAAAGAAATAACACTGTGTTAGAAAAATATTAAAGAACTTTGTTTCAGTAAAACAATATTTAATATACAATGAGGTGAGATTTTGTTATTAAAAAGCAAATATTATTTCCTCAAAATAATACTATTTGTTCTATTAAACAATAGTTTACTATAATGAAATAATATTTTCATTCCAACAAGAGAGTATTTGGTATTCAATTATATCGTTTATATTAAATAAAACCAAGTGGAACAAACACATTTATTAAATTTAAAGAAACTCTTTCCTCTGTGTATACTCAATGAGTAAAATATTATTTATCTGTGCCGTGAGCAATACGAACAACGTGAATTCTCTGTGGATTTTCGCTCGAACTCGTGACGATTAAAAAAACGCAACGGTGAAGGGTTCGCGAAGCATAAGAGGGCGGAGGAAAACAGTAAAAGTACCGTAAGTCGTTAATTGACAGAAACGAGGTCAAGTGTCTACATGAGGACGTTGCCCTCAGTCTCTTACGTGTTCATTAGATTAAAATCATTAGGTACCAACTTATCGTTCTCAAAATATGGCGGACTGTTGCCCGGTTCACCGAGAAGGAAACCGACTTCGACGACTGTCGCCTGGGCCGGCGGCTCGTCCCTCGACCTTCGTATTTCTTCGGCGACCACGCTGAGCACGACCGGCGCGCCGACGTGAGTGATTTGCGTGAGTTCCTCCAAAGGTCTGGCGAGAACGATCTCACCTGAACATCGCAAACGATTTATTACGTTTACGGTAACGACCGCTTAATCTCTCTCGCACGGCTAACCACTCTTCGTGCGCCGATAATAAGCAAATAACATAAATCGTTAGAGGATATGTCCGTCGAGAGAGCGCCCGGCTGTCAGGATTTATCGGGAATCGTGCCGTCGAAATTATTATGATATGTATTTCTTTTTTCAAAAGCCGGTGCTTCCCGAAGCGCTAATTAGTCACGCTCGCACGCCGATATATGCAGGCATGCGGTAATCGGGAGATGCTTTCCATTTCCCATCTCGCGTGTGGGATGATTCGTTGTTTCGCGGGAAGAACGACTGTGTAGCGGCGTTATACGAACTATTTTTTCCATGAATAAAACATCGCGGATAATGGGCGAATTCTCGTTACTTCTCTCTCGTCCTGCCCGCACGTACACGCACGCTGACCGGCAATAATTTTACATAATATACCGGCGGAATCGACGCAAGAAATCGTTCGTGGCGTACGTCTACATACACGTCGCTGGATGTAGGTGGTACCAGTACACGCAAGGACCTCGTACCGTATCGCATGCTCCTTGCCACGAAATGATAAGCATCGCAGGTTGAAAAGCAGAGACTGACCCTTGAGAGCGATCGATACTTGGCCGTAGTAGATTGTCCAGACTTATTCCGACCACTTCTAGCTTCTTCTGTTTACTTCTCGGCAAGTTCTCGTCGTCTTGTCCGCCTCGAGTCCGGCGGCTTTCGCGAAAAATCCGATATTCCGAATGCGATAAGCATTTCGACGTTTATTCCGTGCGTGCGCACGTGCGTGCGAACGCGTTATTTAATCGGCGAAGAATTGTGTAGGTTTGACAAAATCTGTTTCGTGGATCAAATTCCCTGTGTCTGATCAAGAAGTCCTGTTTAATTCGAGTTCCTTTTCATTCACCGGTGAAAGCGACCCCTGTTGTTTAAAATAGTTCGTGGTACGTCCAATTATTTTCGTAGGAATTTTTTTAAATTTTAACTACATATTCACTCGGAAAATCCAGCATTCTATGGACCAACTACTTGAAGTTTTCTCAGGTCGCGTCACGAGAGTCCATTTGGAGTGCCTCTCGAGTTTGATTTATTAATCACTAGTTCGAATTTTGGCGATTTTCGTTGCTACTCACGGCTCTCGAGGCGCAACATTCTTTGAAGAAAAAAGATGAAATTAAAAAAAGAAAGATAAGAACGCGTAGGAATTATAGGTGCAATCACGCGCCCGCGTTAGTTTTCTTCCGCGGACTGTACGCGGTGGAACGAATCGCCCGATTATCAAGAAATGGAAGATCGAAATCGTCGGGACAGCAAGGAACAAATTTCCTTGCTTTATCATTGTCCGGTGCTTTTCACAGAATGAGGTCAGCTTTGTGTGCCAAAGGGGTGTATGAATCAACGTCGTTGTTACTTTTTCCCGCACATCGAAGCCGTCAGGTGGAAACGGGGCGTGACGTGAAATAGATTAGAGAATTACCGATGACTCAACTGGTCGAGTAAATTAATTACATGTACACGAGGGTTTTGCACCTGCAGAATAAGACGAGTCCTTTCACAGTTATCTGGATACGTCTGACACGTGCAGCGCGTAGACATATGTAGATATCGCGCGACTAATTAAAGACAAGCGAAATGTCGTGGGTCGATTACGTAATTACGCACATCCTTTCGATTCTCCTTAATCTTCAGCGAAACAACACTTGCGAAATAAGCCTGGGTCTACAATAGGTGTAGTGTATTTTAGCTTTTTGCTCTAAGTACTAAATTGTTACATATGATTGCTTAAAGCAGAAGGCTAAAGGCTTATTAAACCTATTGTAGGTCCGCACTAATGTAGACAAAAAATTTTCCCTTACCTGTGGTTTCCGAGATGTTGAAAAACGGTATAAAAGGGTTGCCCTCGGACACCAGACCGTACGTGATTTCACGCGGTACTCCCTTATCTCCATCTTCCGCGTGAACTCGTAATATTATATCGCCCTGAAAGTGGCACGAACGGCATAGCAAAATTATTGTGAACTAGTTAAACAACTCTTGGCAAGAACTGTGAAAAAAGATTCTTTATCTTGGCGGAGAAGGGGACAATATTTTCATAGTCTTGAATTATTTGCACAATTTTTGATTGCACAGAAAAAACAATTCCGCTGATGTAACCTGAATTTTCCGTTGCTTCGGTATCATAAAAAAATTCAGCCATAGGAATAGAAAAATTCCTGTTGGAGGATTTTACTCGATCAATTGCTTTCAGTTGTCCCAGCCAAGTTTTAGCACAGCTGAATGTTCACACGTCGCGGTAAAACAGATATTACTTCTTGTCACCGAGTTTTCATCTGGTCCCTATTCTGTTGCAAGAACTGAACTCTTTCTTCCGTGTGAAAGCATAATTAATTACAGGTGTATTTAACTTACGGTTTGCACAGAATTATTAAGTCTGGTTAAAGGAGGAGCTAAGGTAAAAATTGGCGGCACGTCTTGCACATCTTGAACCACTACGACGATATTCAACCCTGCGATATTTCTCGTGTCCTTCCCGGGCTCCGTGTAAGGATCCTGCCGTTGAAATATTTGTATCGAGAGTGTACGCGCATTCCCTTTATGTGTCTCGTACTTATCGCCGTGGAAATAATGCGTACCGTTGCGTAAATGGTGAGAGTATACATCGATTGCGTCTCGAAATCAAGCTCGCCGATCAGCGTAATTACACCGCGCGTTTGCGTCGGCGTTTGCCGTTGGCGAATGGTGAAGAGTTCCTTCGGTTGCTGAAACGAGATTCTTACACTTCACACGTCATGTTAATCACGGTCGTAGAGATATTAATCACGACCGTCGGACGTACCCACAGTTCGATGTAAACCGGCTTGCCGCTCCAGGAATTGGCTCGTACGAGAAGGTAATCCAGTTCCTTACCCGGCTTAGTGTCCTTTCAAAACGTTTTATTGTGTTTACTTGGGATATCCCGCACGATAATGGAATAACGTATTCCCTGACTTATGTCAATTCGGTCAATTGGCAATAATAGGGGAAGGCAAAGTGCATGCGGTTTGTGCTGCGTTACACTTTATACCTTAGCAATTACAGCGTGCGCTAATTAACGTCGTTAGTGGTACCATCAATTATTACCTCGGGCACCATTATCAGCGAGGGAATGTGCGGGAATATTTTATCACGCGAGGTCGTCGCGTTCGTGGCGGAAATGGTGGCCTGCATCGAATTCGAATCCCCCTTGGTATCCCGAACTCTGACGGCGAAATCGTGGAGGCGTCCGGGCGTAAGGCGCTTCGTTAAAATTACATTGGCCTGGCAGACCTTGTTGTACAGTGTGCACGGCAGGTTGTCGATCCTCACCACGGGTGTAATTGTTGCTGAACGTAACACAGAAATCGCACTTTAAGTCCGGCATGCCTGTCCTGCAACTTTCTAACGACAGCGGCGTTTTCGTTACGTGCCGACACTGGCGAAATGTGCAATATCGCGCAATAGTTGGGCAATGGTACGTAATGATGAGCGGCATTGCCGTTAAAGGTGACAGAACAGACATTCCTATCGCATCAATATCGAATCTAATATTATTAGACTAAATTTTTTTATTTTATTATATATATATAATACATATTAAAATAACATTAAAATATAAAATATATATAAAATATATATATTTATATTTTTTATATTTATATTTATGTATTACATATATTATATATTTTTTCGACATCTTATATATGTAATTTAATAATTTATACACACACATACACATATATATAAACATATATCGATTAAATATTATATCGGTATTTATATTCCCTTTTTCTTTTTCATTACCAGTCACTTCGAAAACGAGAGGGAAATCCGCATCCTGATCGGTGGCACGCAACCGGAAGATCACCGAATCGACTTCGGCGTCCGCTGGAATCAACACCAACCCCATATCCGTGGACGTGTCGAAGCGTGGTCGTGCACCTTCGACCCAACCGCAAACGAGCCCCCAGTAAATCCAAGCTTTAAACCATATTCTTACGTGGGGCATTCTGGAAAAGTTAAACGCAATTTCCCTGTATCTCTGTGAGCTCTCTTCTCGGGGATGAAGTACGAGGCGCTCGAGACTGTGGAGGGTGACGAATGCATTGAGAGCCACGTTACGCGTGTAGTAAGTAATGGCGAATTGATAATACCGTATCGCTATAATTCACACGTAATCGACGTTAATAGCGACAAGATGGCGAGTTTAGATACGATTGTACGTATCGATTTTATGATCACGAAACGGGGTCGTGGATATTCGTTGTGCACAACGTTTATAGTGTCCCAAAGCGACGTATCGGGTGATCAACACCACGCTCTCGATACGCGTTATAAACTGTAAGAACGTGAAATAAGGCCTAATAACATATCGCGCAATCGACGTCGGAATCTCGCGAGTGCTTTTAGGAAAAAATTAAGCGATACATAAATACACAATGAAACGATGGAAAATAATAACTTTGAGTGGGTTACCCTAAAACACAACATTTCATAAGTTCTGTGATGCGCTCGACGTATTTTCATTTGCGTTCCGCAACTTGATGGACCCGCTTTCCGTCAATACTGTACATGACTCGCTTCGCATTATCGCGCTCGTGTGGATGAAATCATTCGTGGAGACACACATACATGTCTTTATGATTGGCGATATGGCACGCACATGATTGTTATAGGATAGGTGAAAATGTGGGTCATCGACCACATCTCTACAACGGGACTGATATGTTATGCCCGGGACATTCGTTTCGCTGGACAGAAAAATGTTTACGATGGTATATTTCACCTTCCTATCTGCAATGTGCGATTAATTCTTGAACTTTAAGCGGGAGAATGCGCGACGTTACCTAAGAACGCTCCGAAGCGTTATAAATATTAAACAGTGCATAAAAATTAATATATCACTTTAATATCAAGTTATCTTTTAAAGATAGTGATATTTACATGTTTTTTAGCGACTAGAAGATTTATGTAAATTCGATTAGTTTCTTATATGCTCCGTGTTTGTAATATTGGAACTGTGGCAATTTTTTCCCTTCTAGAATCGCGAATGGGTCATTTCGGACCCACCTTTTTTGCAATAATCTGTGGATTTTTTCAAACTTTATGGCTGCTTAATTGTTTTATGATGAAGAACGCTCTCCAGTGATGAAAATTTAAATGTAATGAAATTGGAAAAACGAATGTACAAGTGGATCAAAAATAACCCGCAAAAATGAGCCGCGCTTCTCGCATTGATACACTCATTGTGTCGTCACTTAGCGATAACGGAAAAAGCGAGACCGGATGTAATTCTGTAAAAGGATTTCAGTCAGTGACGTGTCTGGACATTAGCGGTGCGTGACTACCGGACAAGTACTCAGCATACGAAGAAGCAGGTCAAATTTTTCGATCGTCGCCGATCGATCGCTCCGTCTGCTCTTCTCCGTATCTTTCTTTTTTGCACTTCAGCTTTTCAGTCGCGCGAGAATGCGAGTCCTCGCGTCGCGGGAAGTGGTCTATATTCTTCTCAGAACTCTACCAGGCTCGGAAACGTTCGTTTCATTCCGCATTCATGCCTCCGCTTTTCTACTCGCACGATGGGCATTTTCTGTCAGTGTCTTGATGCCTTGACATTGCATAAATATTCCACGGTGTAGCTGATAGGTGGCCAATGGAATATTTAGTATCAACTTCTCGTACGTACATCCGACAACAGGATTCTTGTTTGTCTAACAATGAAACGGGCTTCAACCCGCCTCCACGCGCTATATATTTTTACCGGTCAGTGTCCACGCGGCTGAGCGAACGATCGATAGGTTTTTCCTTTTTCCCATTGCATTCCCGCGGCTCGCGTCACGAGATCGATATTCGCACGTGGGTACGATCGAAAATCCACGTGAACTTACGCGGAACGGGCTTTGTTAATATATAATAAATAAATGCATGCTCGACGTGTGTCCGTCGCGGCGGCGGAGTTTCGGTGCACGTGAAGAATGTCGATATGTCGTTTTCCGCCGATTGTACCGACATTTTGTCATGAATGTGTAATACCGATGTCTCATTGCGATTGAATAGAAATCATTAACCCTCTAATTGATAATCTCCTCCGCGAAATTGCATCATAGGGCGGGATAACTTTCGGATTCTTTAATTTGCGTTACGATTATTACGAGTCACACAAAACATAAAATATCGAAATTCAGCGCAGAGGGAGACGTTGTTGCAATATCTGGAATATTTGATGCAATGTTAACCCTCTAACAACAAGATGAATTTTCAACGTAATCAGAAAAGTGGAGTTGGATCCGATCCCATGGTCTGTTTTATTCATTTTTCATGTAATCCATGTATAAAATGGATAAAAAATGTAAATAACATGAAACATTCCTTAAGAAGAAGAACAACGCGTACACACTGTAAAATAAACGAGACGGAAAAAAATTAGGAAACCCCATATAAAGATGTAATCAAATATTTATCCATTTTAATGCTGTCAATTTTAATTACCCGGATACCCGAGTTTTTCGGCAACTGAGTATACGGTTAATTTCACACGTTATTATTATCTGTTATCGTTAGAAAAATTAATAATTTGTAACGTCTGATATTAGCTGCATACTCAGTTACTGGAAGACTACGGTATCCGGATAGTCGAAATTGACAGCTTTAATTCATTTTGGGACGAAATAAGAACAATATTTGAAATGACTTAGTATTTTTCTGTGCGACAGGAAAATACAAATCATTATTGTGCTTCATTTCCTCCATCACGTTTACTTATATTAATATAAGTTAAATATGTTAGTTAATATAAGTTGCTTAATTAGTTAACTTATATTCGTGCTATTGAAATTCTTTTGACGAATGCGATTCGCGATGCTCATAATATTTCAGTGGTATCGTCGAAAATATAAGAGCGGGAAAAACTCTTACCTGAACGCGGGGGAATCACGAGTTCGCGAAACAGTTCATATTTATACGAATATCCATCGACCGTACATCGAGTGAATCATCGGGTAATGCGGTAATCGCGCACACATCCCCGAAATGGATTTTCCCCTGTTCCCCGAGACGATTCTTTCTCGAATTAATCCTCTCGTCGTTGTTTCTAGCACATTACGCCTTTTCTTTGCTCTTTCCCTTTAGACGTTCATTTTCACGCGCGAAGATCCCGATTGCGCGTAACCACGCGTTTATCTCCCTTCGAGAATCGCACCGGAGGGAAATCACTGAAGCGCTCGGCGGGAGCGATCAACCGTGATCCAGAGACAACATTCTCGAGGATCGTCTGGGAACACACTTCACGCGGCCGCGTATGCCGCGCGTGTGAAAGGGGTTGTACTGTTCAACCCCAACGTCGACGCGGTTCTACGAGTCACGTGCACGTCACGATCGGCGACCATCCCCTCCATTAACTTCGTTGGTGCATGTAGCTATGTGTGGTAGCCCTCGGACTAATATAATTTCCTCGTCGAGTGAGAAAAGTAAATCGTCTCGCAATTGATCGTTCGTCGACTTTCATCGTATTATCCGATCATTGTACTTTCGTTTCGTTCTTTTAATTTCAAGTACGCGAAACAAAAGCAATTCCGTTGGTATAACTGAATTTTCCGTCTGCCTGGGCCTGGACGAAAATTCGATTGTACGAACGATTCCTATAGGAGGTTTCTACTCAGTCAATTGTTTTCAGTTGTCTCAACCGAGTTTTAATACAGCTGAATGTTCACAGGGGTGTTCTCAGTAGCGGTAGCGGAGATATTACTTCTTGTCACCGAGTTTTCACTTCTTGTCACCGAGTTTTCATCTGATCCTTATTCTGTTGCAAGAACTGAGTTCTTTCTTCCCGTGTCAAATAACGCGATTTCTAAAGCAGAAGAATATTTAAAAGCAACGTAATGTATTCAGAGATTTCAAGGAAAACCGTCGTGCAAGATAATGCAACTTCTAAAATTTGCATTGTTAAATATAAATAAAGCCATACAACTTTTTGCCACGTGTCACACTAAGGTTCGCCTTCAAGTGTAGCTCAGGAGAGTAGTGAAGCTTTCCGGTGACTCAGTGTCTCGGTAAATCGGATAATAACAGTCGCAACCCTCTCGATGGGGATTTCTTAACGCGGGTTTGCGTGTTTATTTCAAGGAGTGGCGATAAATATCAGCAGTCTAATTTCTGAGGGTCGCTAATCGCAATCTTTGATATCGTTTTACCGGTTTATATGATGAATTCTTAGATTACGTATCAGTCTGTATATTGTTTAATCGATAATAATTCCCAACATTTTGTTATCACAGTTTGAAGTGATGGAAATCGTTACTCGCGCGGAAATATCTGAAAATCAGAAAAATGTGGATCGGGGACGATAGGTCTCGAGTTCCTCACGCGCGCTACATTACGAGGCTCACGGAACATTTTTGAAGTTGAAGATTACACGTTCAGAAAGCGATAACTACCACCAGAAGAATCTTGCGTCGTCGTAATAGCGAATTTGTACAGAAAAGGCGAGAGACGCCATTACGTTGGGAGAGAGAGTCCTCGAGAGTTTAAAGACGCCTATACGCCGGTGAGGTCAACCGCTGACCGGTAGCTTATATAGCCGCCTAGTAAATTAGCATGAGGTTGCACGCGAACTTGACGTTCAGGAAGACGATAAGAGAATAGGTAACCGTCTCCTCGGCTACCTGACTTTTCAACCCGTGACCTGCTACTGTGCGTACAACACGAGCTCGATCGTTTTCGGGAGTCGCTCATTTTCCGTCGCGCACACTTGCGTTTTAGCGATACGTGTCGCACGAATTGCGCACCGGAATAATTAGCGCCGCTGTAAATTACTCATTATTACGTTTCAATATAAGTTTTTTCCAGCGATATTTTCTCTCTTATCGCGCGTGCTGTATTTCACTTACGCGGAGTTCAATCGAGGAATATTGATCCGAGAGGAACGTCGGGAATTTGGAATTACTTGCCTACACAATACTTAGGATTAATTGGCTACAAAAAAATTTTCTGTTAAAAACGACCCACTGAAATTTTGCATATTTATTTATTTATTTTTGTATATTTTTTTAACACATTCCCCATGTTAAAGTAACACAAAATTTTAGTGGACCTTTTTTTAACACACAATATTTTTGTCTCTGTACGCGCAACTTCGCGGGTTTTTTTTTTTTCTCAAGTGTAAAGGGCTATGTTATAAAGACACGGTTTACTGAAAAAAAATTATTTTTACTTGACTATAAAAAATACAAAGGAGTGTGTACAAAAATTTGTTGTACGACGAGTCGTTGTGCAGATCCTTAGTCGATGTTGATTAATATTAACGTATGAATAAAGTCGTTCGTGTAAAACTTCGGCACTCATTATGATAATTAAATATCTCTCGCATATCGTACAATATAAATTAAATATACATCATCGCCTATTAACTTCGCACCATACACGCACAATAAATACTTCGCGAGGACACTGCGTCTGACGTCTTTTATAACAGTTCGTAAGATGTATCCGTTTTAGTCAATCGTGTAACGTAATTATTTACAACGCAATTCTGCACCGCACTGTGTATCTACATTATAACTCGATAATGCAATTGGTTAACAGTTTGTGATTTTGATATCTAGTGATTCACTATAATTCCGTTGTTTCGATCTTTTTCCCCATAGGATTGACGATTGCGCTGTGTCCCGCGTAAATCGGTGAATCTCTGCTATAATCATTTTGAATATCTATGCTCTCGACGCTGTAACGATACAAAACAATGCGAGTCATGTGTATTGCATCACATATTATACATATCGGACATAACAATAGGTTATTGCAAACGTTGAAATGAAACTGAAATATGACTGAAACCTGCGCAACTCCGATAAATTTTATCTTCTATATCGTAAATGTGAAAATATATATTTCACATTATGGCATCATATGAAGAAGCGACAGTAAAGTCTGAAAAGTAACTCAGATACCTGGAAATAGTCGAAACCCTCGGCTCTATATAATATGGTTTATCCTCTGCTCTTTGGTTTGCATTGGCTTCGTTCATTATTTCCTCGTTATTAAGCGCGTTTTCATCGAGGGAATCTCTCTCGGACGTATGGCTGAACGACTCGTCGCTCTTGAACCACTCGTTCTCGTAAGCGTGCATCCATATAGGATTCGAGCCTTCCATGCTGTGTTTGTTCGTATTTGGAACACGACCAGGACTTCGGATGAATTCCGAATCCGACGCACCTTTAAGAACATATATTATAACATTGAGAATTTTCAAGCGATTTTAACATCGCAATATCGCGCAAGAGGGAAACGTATTTTGCGGGACGCGCGTTTTCCCAAAGACTTCCCAAGGAATTCCTAAGAGTGTACTTCGCTAAATTAACTTCGTATCTCGGTTGACATCAAAGGGTTGAGTCAAGTGACGGACAGTAGTAGTAATTGTTGAAGTGGAGCGCGAACTTCAAGAAGCTTTCTATGGTAAACTGTCCGTGTTGTTTGCATTACCGAACGGTGACGCGTTTGCCGCTTTCAGTTGTCTTCTGAAAGACGCCCTTTGTGACAAACACAGCGTGACACACAGTATCAGTAGAGCTCCTAGAAACAGGGTCAACGTGAGGAGCCAGAAAGTGGTCCCGGCTTGTTCGTACTGCATGACCGGTTGAGCTTTCGCCGGCTGCGTGTCGAGGACGTTGAACTCCTTGAATAGATTGTCGAGCTTCTCGATGTTCCGGTCGACCAGCTCGAGCACTTCGGACACTTCCAGAATCGAATTATCTCGACGATTCACGAGGTGCAAATATAAATCCGTCTTCGTCCGATCCACAGAACCGTCCTGATTCTCGTGCACTTTGTACTCGTCGACGTTAATAATAGCGCTGGTAACGTTGCCCAGAACTCTGTGTATAAAAAATGTATGCCTCTTACTTTAATATCAATTGTTATTTAAATATTATTATGAACAATACTCAGATATTCTTTCCAGCGTTTTATCCAACGTTCGTAAGCTTTATCGCGTGGTCGTCGATAATATAGAAAGCGGTAGGTACTTTGCTTACTCGCGGAATGTTTCGATTCGACTTCTGACTTCCGGCGGATGTTGACGAAGAACAAAACGAACTCGTTGATCCTCCCGCAATAAATAAATGAAAACCCTCGCAGTATCTTGCAAGCCGTACGTGTCGTTAACGAGCACCTATATATTTATATATATATTACATCTTGAATATCCATACATAGATAATAAAAAAACATTACTTTGTTACGCAAAATAAGTAAGTTATAAATAATGTTAAAGGTAATGTAACAAAAAGAAATATTGTTTTATTATGTGAAAAAAATGAAAAATATGTGATATTAGATATTGTTTTCGAGGAAATTGATTTGAAAAGTTTGATTTGAGTTCGAAGAGAAATCAATTCCGATAATATTATACCATGAAATCGAAGTAACCCTTCATCCCTCGTTGCGGATCAAAATTCAGGCTCACCGCTCCAGTATCCTTATTTACGAGAAAAGGCTGCAGTTGCATATTTTCGAAACCCTCGGTTAATGTCATATGGATTTTGCCAACTTGATAATAACCGAGCATCGCGTTATCACCTGCGTCCAAATCAATTGCCTGCAACATGAATCAGCATACGGAATGTATGGACATCACGAATTATAGACATGCGTTCTGAGATTACAGAGAAATATTACGCAGTACGCAAACTGCGTGGCAATAAATTTATATGCGATAAAAAAATCAATGAAGAGATCTGTAATCCCGCGTAACGATTTTCTGCAAGCTATAAGATTACCTTAAGATTACCTTTCTATAAGATTACCTTAACATGCATAAATTGTGTGCCAAAATCGGCTTCAGTAGTGACACCGCCCGTGAAAATTTTGTTAATAAATCGCGGTGCATTGTCGTTGATGTCGTCGACTTTTACAACGACTTGCAACAAAGTGTCATCGGCCTTATCAAATGTCGTTTCATCGTCTGGCACGGTCTCGCAATCTTCAGTTGCTTTAATGAGCAAAATATGTTCTTCTCGCTGCTCTCTATCCAGTATTTTAGCCGTCTAAGTAACGGACAATATAAACGGTGTTCTCAGATTGCCAAATGGTAAATAAGATTTTCACTTTATCACCGTTTTCCCGATTATATATAAATACATCTCTGTTTTTCAGTTGCAACATCCTAAGAACCGATGGTTCTTTTAATTTTAGTTACTTACGCTAAGTTCGTGTCTGTAGATATCTAAAACAAACAATCCATCATCGTTTCCGCCAACTATAAAATAACAAACTAGAGTAGGAGGATCGTCCAAGTCATCGACTTCGTCTCTGTCGACTGTTTCCGGAAGTAATATCATCTCCGACCCAGGAGGTTGCTCCTCCGTGAAATTGATGTTAAAAATATTCAGCAAAAATTGCGGCTCGAAATCATTGATGTTGCGAACATAGATGATTAGATCGAGATCGGAACTTAAGGGAGTCGGAGTACCTAAATCATATGCTTCCACTCGAATCTGTGTGGGAGAAACACAAATTTTATTAAGAATTTTTTTCTATTATCTGTGCATTTCTATTATATCAATTGACGTATAAATATAGCGTTGATAAAAAATAATAATATTTTCGTATTTGTAATATTGTGTATATATACCTGCTTCAACTTCGTTTCAAATAAACATTTATTATTTAAATTATGAAATAAATATATAGGGACGTAATTTTGCTTGATAAATACTAAATTTATGAATGGTCCCTCAAAATTTATTGATGCGTCATTGAAATGTATGGCACTAATAGTCAATATATTCTTAATTTCCTCGCTGATATCTTCGCGAGCAAAAGTTAATTAAACCGTGATATAGCCAATCAAATAAAATATAATTGGCAAACAAAATTGCTTTTATCTTCACATACCTCATATAACTTCTGAGTCTCTCTGTCCAGTGGCGATTTTAAAGATATCACGCCAGTTTTGTCGTCGATGCGAAAGGTCCTCCAATGACCCGCCAGGTCCTGCTTCAAACGATAATGTACATCGCCGTTTAATCCCGTATCAGCGTCTTTCGCCTCGATTTGAATAATCGGGCTTCCTACTGTTATATTCTGAAATAACATTGTTGCATTGGGCGCTTCATTAACGTTGTTTTACGAAAATAAAGAGCACAGAGTGTTACGCGAAATTACCGAAGATACAAACCTCTGGAACTCGAATGGTAGTATTGTGCTGAGGACTGATGAACAATGGTGGATTATCGTTATAATCCGTGACACAGATTTCCAGAATTCCGTTATCCTTGTTGGACGGTGTTCCCAGATCGCGTGCTTCCACGTGTAGCGTGTAATTCCCGAATTTCCCTCTCAATGATCGCGCAGCTTTGATCTTCGCTGTCCAATAATCAGTTTGCTCCAATATGAATAAACCTGTTCTGACCAACATTTCGTCAGCATTCAGAAATTAATGATATCGGGTGTTTAAAAGAATATGCTGGCTGTTTTCAAAGGTAGGTTAATTTTGGGGAATTAAGTATACATTCGTTCGAACACTGTACATTATTGTAATATCGTTAAACGTTGAATCGGCTGATGTCTGAAATTAAGCACGCACCTAGCTCGTTACCAGAAATTATTCTAATTTGAACTCGGCCGTTCGGTGTGGTTGGATCGTCCGCGTCCTTCGTTTTAATGACGAAAATCAGGTCTCGTATGTCGTGAAACTCCGATATGGAGACGCAACCTTGTGGCATATCCATCTTCGGCAAGTTGTCATTCATATCAATGACGGTTACTCTAAAATGATACATTTCGTAATATCGCTGTTTATAATCACCGCGGCTGTTGTATCTAATTGTGATACGATCAAATCGGGAAAATCGGATCGTCGATTATCTCACGAACGTACTGGATTTGTTTGAACGCATTTCGAGACTCCCCCGCTGTATAACCGAATTGATAATTGTCCCAAGCTTCTATAACTAAAACGTAGCTGTGTTTGGTCTCCCAATCCAGAACGTCAGCCACTGTCAGGGATCCGGTTTCCGGATGGATAGCGAAAGTCCCCTATTTGAAATAATATTCGATTACAGTGATAATTGTGTCTACTTAAAATAAAAAGCAAAATCACAAATATTGCTATAAATACACTCGCGCTTCTTACCTGTGACGACATTCTGTCTAAAAGATAAGTAATTTTGCCGTAATCTCCACTGTCGGGATCTCTCGCTTGTATAACTGTGATCTCCGTGCCGATTTTGGAGTTTTCCATGACAGTCACGTTACTGACGTTCGAAACGAAATACGGATTGTTATCGTTTTCATCTAATACTTGAACATACACTTCCGCCAAACTCGATCTGCGAAATATCACAAAGTATTAAAGTAGCACTTTTACAAAAATATACTCATGAAATATTATTCATTAATTAACCATCGCACTCATAAGTAAGTTATATATTGCTATCTATCAACATGATATTAAACGTGATAATCTACATCAATGGTGTAAATGTTTAAAGATGAATGAAAATCATTTAAGCTTTATATAATAACAGTAAAAATAACAAGTAAAAATAATTTTGTAATCGCATAATTATTGCATACCGAGATGGAACTCCGGAGTCTGTGGCCCTGATGGTCAAGTTAAGCCACGAATATAATTCTCTATCGATCTTACTAGCGACGACCATTTCTCCAGTTTCAGGATCTAAATGCACGAGCTCCGCTATCTCCTTCGGCCCTTGCAAGGAATAAGTAATGCTACGATTTTTGTCAGCGTCGTCGGCAACGATATTCGCGATATTAACGCCATTTTTACTGTTTTCAGTAACGGAGCGTCTATAAAAGGGTTTCCGGAACTTCGGATTGTTGTCATTCTCATCCTCGATAATTATACTCAGTGTAGCTGCAAGCATTTTCATAGCGACGTTATTACTCTTTGGCTTTAAATGCCAGAGTAAATTTTCAGTAAATATATTTAATAATGTCTGTAACTATACACAGTGGAGAACTTCCCAGAAACTTTACAAGGAAGCTCTACAAAAAATATATTTAAAGAGAATCTTTCCAAGTAGCGTATGTTCTTTAAACGTATGTAACGTTTCATAATCATATTACATATGTATCAAATTACATATATTTAAAGAACGTACATGAAACTAACTGTGCTATCTAGATTTTTATTTAAACGTGAAATTGGAAAACTCGCGAATTTTCATTCGTTCTGAATGTACACGACAGATTTCTGAAAGTTATCTGAAATATTTGGCACTGTGTGCAGAAACATATACATGCGATATCTCCTCAAAACTAACCGGATGCAGTTTGCAAGCCTCTTACTGCGGCAAAATCCTCAACTACGAGCCCCAACCTGATAGTCTCCACTCTTTCTCTGTCCAAGAGTTTTACAATGCGCAACAGACCGTCAAATTTGTTTAATTCCAACGCTGCCAAATAGTCGTATTCTTGTATTTTTATTAACGTGCCCTCCTCGTTTCGCGCCTCCGATGAATTAGAATCCACCCGATAACGTAGTTCCGGAGCCACGTCTGGATCTTGCGCCACTAAGCGATGTACGTACGCGCCAACCTAATAGTCATTTGTTCGTTTATCGATATTTTCGTAAGTGAGACAAATATTAATTGGAACAAATTACAAATAATTTCCAACAATTATGACATATATTTATTTTATGTAAATACTTGTGTGAAACAAGTCGATAAGCTGTTTATTAATCGGGAACACTAATTATTATTAATAATGACGTAATATATGTTAGATTAGCATTCGTTGCCGAATATTCTACACTTTTGATAATAAACATGTAGGAGGAAAAAATTGTAATTTATAGATCAAATCTATCGGTCACGTACCTGAGTATTCTCTCTGATGATGACAGTTCCAGGTTCGACGAAAACAGGCGGTTTATTATTGACATCGTCGATCGTGATATTCACAAGTACCTCGGCCGTCCGTTGGATTTCCGTGCCGCTGTCGATCGCGATAACGTTTAAGTTGTACCTCGTTGTTTTCGGCGATGTCAGATCCGGGTCTAAATTCGAGCCAGGAGCCACTCGAATCACGCCCGTTTCGGGACTAATTACGAACTTGTCTCCAGCCCCGCTTTGAATTCGGTACACCAATTTATTATTGGGCGATGACAAATCTTTGTCCCAAGCTTTCACCTATGCCACCAATTTGAATATCTATTGTAATCATTATTAATTCTATGATATTTGCATTTATTGCAACATATGTACAGTGTGGATCATTTTAATGTCCTTATCTAAATATCTTTTTTCCTACGCTTGTTACAAAAAAATATTTCGGACAAAAATAAGGTTTCGAGGGAAATATAAGTTGGTGATGTTAATTTCGCTCTATAGCCGATAATTCAAGATCATTTCGAAGTCAATTTCATTTTTTTTAAACGAAATCATATAGTTTCTTTGACATAAATCGATTTCTCTGTCTATTCTACGTATAAAAATACTCGAGTAAAATTATCGAAAAGTGAATATTTCTCGATATATTTTACTTTTTATCCTATATATTATATTTTAGATATTTTTCAGTAAAATGGTCCACCCTATATATACATCAAAAAAAAATAAAAATCACGAGTGGAGGATTTAATAAGATTAGATATAGAAATTTTGATATTCTTTTCTAGTTTTATTTTTAGAAAATCATCGCGATGAACGTTTACTTCTCAATTTTTAATCTTCCACGTGCAGTTTCCAATTTAATTTTTGTGGCAGCCCTCTGCGTAACATATTATATATTATACACAGTAACTACACACACACACACACCTGCACGACGCTCGTGCCGCCCGCCAAATCCTCGGGGATGTTTCTCTTGTAAACCGTTCTTTCGAAAGCGGGCGCGTTGTCGTTGATATCTTTCAAATAAATAATCAGAGGGACATCGGAGCTCATACTCGGCGTGCCCACATCTCTAGCGCGCACAGTCAATCTCAATGGACGTATAGCCGTTTCTTTGTGTCCCTGTTTGATAGGCAGAGCCTCGTAATCCAGCGGATGCCTGGGCGTTATGACACCACGTTTCGCATCGATCGAGAAATTTCGAGAGAATTCGCCCGATACCAGAGCGTAAACCACTTCGCTGTTTCGCGTCCCTGTAGATTAAATGTGACGCCGACATATGAGAGATGTGACATTTTTAACGGACGTGTATTCGTGTTACTTGTTTTTCGCTATCGCTGACCGTTTAAATCGATGTCAAACGCTTCGACGACCAGAGGAGACTCGAAATGATCCTCGTTCTCCAAGAGCACCGCTTCGTATCTGTTCTGTAGAAACACAGGTGCGTTGTCGTTGACATCGTCGACGTTGACTATTAACTGCGCGGCATTGCGGTTCCCCTTTCCAAGATCGTCTCGGGCTTCGACTGTGAGATAATGTCGAGCTACTAGTTCTCGATCAAAATTGGACCCGGAATGTTTGACTGTTATTATACCGCTGAGAGGATCCATCGCCAGCCTGCGGTGGAGAGAAAAAGAAACGTTTTTGTAAATTACAAATCCTTGTCGCGATTCTGCTCCATCCATTTGACATTGTTTATTTCTTAAGCGACCGTCGTTAATTTTTCTGTAGTTACGCCGGACAACAAGAGATCTTTCTAAATGGTGCATATTCTTCTAAAACTGACCCGAAAGTAGCTGATTATTTAATAATTGATAATTCAATTAATATTAATAATTTGAAATGAAAATTGCGTTGCCTAATGTTGTAATAGCGTTTGTAATTTATTATCTTACGCATGTGCAATGCTACCGCCTAAAGTTGTATATCGTATTCCATTCGTTCCGAAGTTACCGCTGTCTTCGTCCAAAGCTTGGACCCAAGCCACGGTGGTCCCTTCGGCGCAATTTTCCGGGATCGAGACCTCGTAGATGCTTTTCGTAAATTCCGGATAATTGTCATTCTGATCCTTTATAAGAACCGTAACCGGTACAGTGCTGTACTTCGGGGAGATCGGTGTGATTTCTTTCGCGACGAGAGTAAAATTTACCTCTGCAAGGAACGAGCTTTCACATGTTGTACACAAAATCAGATTTTTATGATGGAATAAATTAAATGTAAATTAAATTGAATTATTGATCAAGTTGTTTATTAAGAAGTTAGCAAATATCCAACTTTTTAATAGAATATGGAGCTTAATATTGTCTAATGTAACGTTTAACGAATATATTATACTGAAGATGGGACACTAATTTCACGTAAGAATGCATCCAGCTTAACCAATAAAAAATAAATTGTAGAACTGCCTCTTTATACCTTTTATTTTTTCAAAGTCGAGTTTACTCGAGTCCTTAACGCGTATTAAAAACGGCGCCTCGTTAATCCCACGGAATGGCGTTACATCGAACATTCCACCGCCACCTTCGACAAATATGTGAAACGTGCCATTGGAACCCTGGAAAAATTCATCACACTCGCAAAAGGCACTCTTAAGACTCGTTAAGAATATAAAATTAATATTACTCTGCACGGGGAGGTAATACTTCTTGTTCTTAGATTCTAAACGTCCCCTGGGCTGAAAACTAAAATCTCAGAGACAACACGCCGAATTAAGCGTCATGATTTCTTTCGAACTCACCAAGTCGTGATCGAAAACTTCTGGCACAGCATCGCCGATGAAGCTAACCGGTGTATTTTGCGGCGCATTCTCGTTTATTTCAGCGCGGTACAGCACGCTTCTAAACGTCGGCGTTTCGTCGTTCACATCAGTGAGGATAATGGTGACTTCGGTACTGACAGACGGCGGTGGATTGATCTTTGACACTTCCCTCACTGTAATTTCCAAAATGAAAGTGCCATCGCTGTTCTCGTCGGCTTCTCTGTCCAGCTGTGCCCTTGTGAACACGAGGCCGGACGTCGCGTTAATATCGAACAGATATCTTGGCCCTTCCGTGATGCTGTACGTCACTTTGTTGTTTATCCCTTTGTCACCATCCACGGCACGAACTATAACATAATTTACCATTAAATTGTCAGGGCCAAGAGCATCTTGTACACCTACTTTTGTAAGTTGTAGTTCTGAACCCTTCAAGGTACAAACTTCTTTTTATTTCCATTGGATATTTTATAATAACTCAAGAATTTAAAGATTTAAATACAGCTCGTATATCGATATTATCAATCTTTTATCTATCTTAGGACGGTGATTTACTCCATCATAAATAAGTTTCGCTATTCGAATTCTCTGTTATCATATTGACAAGTTGCAATCACGGTTAAATCGTTTAAACGAAAAAGAAATAATTCCGATATCTTTCATTCTAAGGTATGCGGTTAATATATCACAATAATCTTTTCATCTCATACGTGTGTGTGATTAAATCAGACGGTGTAATGCTGACCTTGCAAAACAGATGTGCCAATCCTGGCATTCTCGCTGATCCTCGCCACTGGCGTCATGGCTATGAATTCCGGCGGCTGGTCCTCCACATCCTGTACTTTGATCAAAATCGCAGTCGTTCCTGTGTTTACCTGAAATAATTAAGTATAAATAAACTACCTTATATACAGGAAATTGCTTCACGTAAATGGCTGAATGTAGATAATCGTCTCCTGGCATTGTTCAACCTTCGCTGCGTTTGTATTTGCCGAAGAAAATCATTGAACTGCCCGACTACCGTATTTTAGACGGGTCTTATCTATGAAATATCCGCGTGTTTCGCACTACGCGTAGATAATACCCTTATAACTTGGAACATCCAAATACTAGTGTACTACTAGATTGCAATTCAACTTATATCCATGGGAATAACTACGTCAACTATTCGTATTATTTAGGATACTTGGAAGAGAGCATGTTGAAATCAATATAATACCATATTTAAAAAAGAATATTACAACTAATATGTAATGTTAGGTGCGTCAACTAATTCCGCGTCTCTGTTGTCAAAAGTTAAGATTGATTTATCAATAGAAAGTATACAATTTTAACTATCGAAATAATCTCCGTTATTACCGATAACCTTACGTCGTCCATTGGGCGTTTGTCGAATTTCATCGCGACAGAAACTCGGCTTGAATCAATAAAGTTATCGATAGAATTTCGAATTTTGAACACATTCTATTAAAATTTTCTATTAAACATTCTGTTAAAATGTGTGTCAATTAAATGATGTTGCAACGATTGAAAAAAACGAAAGTCTGAAAAAAGCAAGGTCTAAAGAATAAATCGAGTGCGGGACAACTTCCCAGCCCACATTAAAGCTGGCGTCTTTTATTTCCTTCACTACGTGAGGTCGAGCGTGAAACACACATGCACAGGCCTTCTCGACATTTTCTCGAAACCTCTGATACTCTTTGTTACAAGTTGTATAACTTACTGCATTTTTGAGAGAACAGAAAAAATCATTTTTGTGACTTCAGCAACATTTGTTTCAGTTTCAGAAATGCAAAAAGCATGCAGTACCGAATATGCATTTCATTGACAACAATAATGTCCACTACTATTTTCGGAGGTCATATCGATCATCCTGCGTGATATTTTGTAAACATAAAATGGCAGCTCTTTAAAACCACAATTGAATGGAGAAATATTTAGATTTTAAATGTTTATTATATATAGAAATGGGCAAAACTATAGACACCGAATTAATTTACACACATAATAGAGCATAATTTATAGTTTTAAAAAGCTTTCTTCCATTTTTGCTCAGAAAGAAATGGAAAAATTCGGGTTTCCTCCCATTTTCTGTGCAGAAAAAATCGAAAAGAATCGCGGAAAAATTAAAAAGTTCTTTTCCAAGTCTTCGAAATGATAACATAATATAATATTTCAATAATAGTAGATTTAATACACAAAAAGTACCTTTTCATTTATCGCGCGATCCACGGCCAAGATCCTCAGTTGGTAGAGATACTTCCGTTCGTAATCCAACGAACCGACTAAGCGTATGATACCTTTGCCGTTCACCGTAAATATGCTGAAGACGTTGTTGTCACCGTCGAGTTCTTGCAGATAATAAACCACTTGCCCATGAGCGCCCAGATCGGCGTCGGTGGCCTCCACCGTTGTTAAAATGCGCGGCCTCGCGTCTTCGCGGATCGTCAACGAGGGCGGATGTGGACGGAAGATCGGCACGTTGTCGTTAATATCCTCGACCAGAAGCAGCAGACTCTGCGTGATGAAATTTCCCTCGCCCAGTCTGCCGTCCGTCAACGTTAACACGAGCGCGAATTCATCCCTGGTCTGATGGGGAGCAGCACACAGATAACGTTAAACGTCGGATTACCTTCGAAAGAAGGTGCGGGCGAATCCCTCGAAATGTGAAAATACAGCATACTCGCGTGTCTTTATCGAGCCGTGCGGATATCTCGAAGAAAGTAAGACGCAAGTGTCCAATACTACGAGGAATCTAAGCCGAACACGCTCGAAGTAGGTTTTAAAAATTGTATCAGACGTGCGCGACGATCATCGCGGCTCGGACGTACGTACTGTATCATCGTCGATAGAAAGTTAATTTCCGAGCCGCGTTATTTCACGCGTGCTATCCGATGATAGCGACAAATGACAGCTTTGCGAAATGGGTCCCCGCGAAGATGATCGGTTTCGAGTTACCTCGGTCCCCCTCGCTGGTACTTGAATTTCTCTTTAATGGTTTCGACATTGCCGGACTGTAACTAGCGGCACCGTAACAAGGATAACAGGGATAAGGTGAAACACGGAGAAACAATTCACCATGGTGAATTACGAGAATTATTTACGCCGGTCCCCCGCGCGAGCCTCCCCATCCGGGATTATTCTTAATTGTTTACGAGATAAATACGAACGATAGGACAAAAATAACTGGAAATTGCGAGGATTTTAATTACTATTATCTCTGGTAGGAGTGTTTTTCCTCGGGCAGTAAAATATCTAGCTGGCTAGCGACGCACTGATGACCGGGGTTCGGTACGGTGGAAGGGAACTTATGGCGCGTAAATCGTTCGTGCGAAACAGAGATAAGTACAACGTTGAGACCGGCATAAAAATTATTGCGGTATTCCTTCCTGCATTGTCCTCTCTACCTTCCTAGTTGATCGGCCAGTAACTCTCTAAACGTCTCATTTAACCGAATATAGTTCTCAGCCGTCGTTGAAACGCAATTGAATTTTAACAGTTTAAGACGTAATTTTCTTTCCGTCATCCTCGACTTTACGACTTCGACGAGAATATTTCAGGAGCTAAATACCTTTTAGATGCTTAACTTCTAATTCCGCTAAATATTATAAATCGAAGATGAAATTCATTAGCCGCTTATCGTGCAATATCTGCCACTGCAAGAGACATCGGGAGAAAGATCGTAGATTTCACAAATTACCTCTCTATCCAGCAACTTGTTTAGGTAAATGTTGGCTTCGTCGGGACTGGTATTCTCAACTCGAATCACATCGCTACCCGGCTGATCTCGAACGCCAAATATCAAGCCGTCGCCGTCCGGATCGATGCCTCTGAGTCTGTAAATCAGGCTGCCTGTGAACAATTTCTCTTCGTTCAAAAATATCCGCACTACATACAACGCAATGCAAGTAAAAGACGTAATGTGTATGAAAGGGATCTCTGTTTCAAAGAGCACACGCGACTGTGTCGAGTGATTAACTAGGAAGATGTCTTACCGTGGATAATTAAGACATGAATTTTCTATCTGCTCTAACTGCTGCTTTCTACTTACTACTTGTCCAAATACAATGATTTGGATAAAAAAGAGCCGTCGAAAGTCACAAAGTGCCACGGAAGAAAATTATTAAACGCGAACTTTATCCGCGTGGCTGGAAGCGAGCCAACGGTTCATACAACGGTGCTCGAAAGTCGGTGCGTAAACTAGTAATAAATTTTGTGATCCGTGGCCGGTCCAGCATAGCACCGACGCGTGTGTGCATTAATACGCGCTCGTACTCCTCCATACACCATGCGTATCAGAGTCGAACAAAATTTTCTACACAATAGGCAAGTTTTCATAAGGATATTTTCCTTATCGGACGTTCGTTGCGTACGCTGCTTAAAAATTAATAAGACGCACGAAAAATGCGTGTATTTTTCTCAAATACCTTCATAAAGTATACAGCAAAATATAAATATATCTCGAATTTACAAAAAGATGAAACAGTTTACGATCCAAGTGTTTCTGAGTTCTGGAAGAATTTTAGTTTAAAATATGACGGAGCTATAGGTGTGTCTTTTAAAAAAGATGTAATAAAATAATCTTTACCAATTGGAGTCTCGGGTCCCTCCTTCAGTCTAAGCACGATCTCCGTTTGTCCGTCTATGAGGAATCTGGGAGGATTGTTTCTAGCCGAGCAATGCGTCAACAAATATCCGAAAATCAAATAGAACAATTCTATTTTAAACCGGCTTCTCTTGCAGGATCGTAATAGCCAAGAGGACGATTTCGTTTGCTTATCCGACGTCATCTTGATCGAGCAATGCTTCTAATCGACATGATCGCTCTCGCAGGATGTCCCACGATTAAATCAGCTTTCAGTGTCCTGAAATCGGTACATGAACCGATCATGCGATTAATCGGTAAAACTATCACTGCGAGTGAACAATTATGCCGTCAAGAATAAGTTAAATAGAAATAATTGAATTGGTCGAAAAACAGACGAACGAATCAGTAATGTAGGACAGAAGCGCAATATGTTATTATCTATACAGATTATATTAAAAAAATATATATTTTTGCATATTTTTCACGTTTTTTTCTCTCTCGTATATTTTTCTCAGATTCCACACATTTTATTTGTTTTACACGTATATCGATCTATTTACTAGGTGTATTTAGTTTAATAAGTGGTAAACTGGCATCTACGCTGAGTGGCTGCTTTCTCCTCGGCAAAACGTCGTCTTGATGCAATGTCAAGAGTAGCTAGTCGTGAACGATCACCAAGATTAAGCCGGAGTGAAAGCTTACCGGAAGAAACGGCGTTTTCTCACGGCGCTTAAATTGTGACGTACGTACGCATTATGATTAAAAGAGAATGATTTTCCCAACTAGACCTCCGGCACTCATTACGCAAGGTACACTTAATGGCTCGGTACTTTTAGAATCTTATACGGCTAACGAAGCGATGATATAATATGCTTCCATCTACCAAATCTTCTTTCGTGTATTTTATCTCGAAAAGATGTGCGCCACGGCTCAGAACGAATGAATTTTTGCGCTAGAAAATGATTAAATCCAATTAGACGGGAGGACTTGCAACATCGTGCAATGGCTGTAATTAATTTTTTTATCAAATTCAACCTTTAAGAAAACCTCCAAAGAATAAAAGGATAAGAGAGATCATTAATCTCAGCTAATTCCAAGTACGGACTCCGAAGGGAGTTGCGAAAATATACGATGGTGGAAATTTGAGAACTGCACCAGCTGACTTTTCCAATAAGAACAACTTCATATCGTCTAAAGTGTCTGTTAAAAAAAATCAGTTTTCTTACAGAATTTAATTAACCTTTAGTACAGATATTAAAAATTCCATCGGACCTAATTTTAGTTTTTGGATTTTTTGACAATTCTGATTGTAATTGCGTGCAGTGTGTTTGCAAAAATTGATATTTCAAAGAGAACATTTATTACATTTTAATAGCGCAAATTAATTCATTAATTTAATTAATATCACGATGGTATGTCGAGGGTTAAAAGGACATCCGGTAATTTCCCGAGACTTGACCGTTCGGCAAGACAGGTAGGCGGAAGGAATGTTCTCGCTGACCCGTGCTCGTGTAAAGATTCTCCTTTAGGATAGCTTGACACTTAAAGAACACTGACTGAGCACGCCGAACGGTGCTCCTCTTGCCAACAGAGTGTATCGGCCACGCTCTTGACTTTTAAGACTCTGCTAAATAACAGGCTGGCGCGAAGTTTCTCGATGTGCGAATACCCGCGTATTCAAATATGCACGACGTACGTCCGCTATCTGATTTCCAAGTAAATAAAGACGCCCGCTTCCACGTACAGGAAACGAGTCGGATTTTATCCCGATAGACTCCTCGATAAAGGATTAGACTCGGTAGCACAATTTTTATTCGCGCTTAACGCACGTTGCCCGATTTTCACCGATTTTTACGCGTGCATTTTTGTGACAATTCCTTTAAATTTGCGTCGTACTGCAGTTTCTTTATTTATACGCATTTCCTTCGTTTAGCGTATGATAATAATTTAATACACGCATGTGTGGCTTTCTTCGAGCTATGTACAACTATTTTTTTCCACATAGGACGATCCTCGATCGTTGCTCGGACTTATCGATCGCAATTAGTTACACACGATGATTCGCTTAATCCTTTATTATATTGAAGCGCAATATTTGAATACGTGGTACGTACAAGATCGCGTGACTAAGATATTCTTCGAAAATTAACTCCTTATAATTGCATTCACCTTCGTATCGCGAAGTACTTCGAAGAGATGGATCGATAAGGACGCGCCACAAACGTAGGATAATTTTATTATTCGACAACCGGCAATTTTTCCCCCCTTTTCCCATTCTTCTTGTATTTTTATTTTACTCGCAACGCGAAAACTGCTTGTATACCATCCGGTAACCGCGGCACCGCGAATGGAAACTTGCATCTGCATAAAGGAAGCTTTCTCTACGCATGTTGCTTTGAATAAAGGGGCAGTAAGGTCGTATTTCCAGCGGGGCTGTCCCGAGGTGCGTGACGTCATTTCCTACACCTGCCATGCATGCTTCCGAATGATAACACCGTCCGGGATATTGACATACACCATAATACTGTCTGTTGCCCAGCCAACCCCATACAGAATTTCCTCGCGTGACGGGCTCCCCAACACCATGGGCACATATGTAAAGGATCTTTTTGGGCACGCCAGCCGTTTGTAATATTCTCCTTTTTTCGGCAATATTCTAACGTAGAATATAGTAGACGAAGATTTCTATAGAAAAAAAGAATGTGCGCGAAAAACAGTCTCTCGGACAAATCCTTCAAAGGAAATTTTAAACACGAAAAAAAAAAGATTTTGCTGACAACACAAATAATCATAGTTTGGCTGAATGATTTGCTACAACTAAAACTTTAGTCACTTGCTATATGTATAGGTGCCATACTTAGTATAAATCTACTGTAACTAAACTTGTAGTTGTCCGTACATTAGCTAAATCTCCGTTTTAACATATGCCTACAAGTTTAGCTTCAGTAGACATATGTATTAAATACAGCACCTATACACTTAGCAACAGTAATTAAAGTTTTAGTTGCAGCAGTAAACTTTTAATTACAGCAGCCAAATATTTTCAGCTAAATCACGATTAGTTAACAACATCTTTTTTGCGTGAATGTATTTTTCTCGGAAAATTAAAAATCTCAATTTTACGTTTATTTTGCAATAACTTACTTTTAATCAGCATGAAGTGTTGATTTTCAAAACGTTTTATTTAACATTATGTTGATCCAATTGATCCTGTTTTTCGAGAAAAGGGCAAATAGCTTGGAGACCACTGTTGATGTATCGACACTCTCACTAACAAAAATTCGCTCGTTCTGGAGTTCTCTGTTACACCGTGCAATCACAACCTGACGTTACGACCACAAACAGATGCTACCGCGACGATGTAGCATACATACAAGTAAAATGAATTTCCTTTTCACACTGTGCCACAACGAAACGCTACTCGTGGGAACAAAATTAGCAATGTCTCTCGTCTCGTAAGAATTAATTACTACGAGACACAATAGCACGTCGTGTGATTATTTAAAGAGAAGAAACATACGATGTCATAACACCTGCATAACTGAATCGAAGTGTGATTTACAACCTTGCGTCATGAACATTCTCGTCGAATAATTAATACGTCGTCGTGAAGAAATTTGGGTCAGTGCTAATTATTGTCGAGTGTCCAGTGTGGTTAGCTGCTTCAACGTTTAATTTTGATTCCGTAATAAACGGAAGTCACGACATGCAATGGATGGGTCGAACAACACGCAGGAAAAATCTGCGAATACCCTCAATGTTTAGTTGGTTAATTAATGATGACTTTGAAATGCATTCAAAAATTAATTATGTGCAATGGTACGATCTTAACATTATTTTTGCTTTTTCTTTTTAATCTATATATATCCGTTTACGTAGAAATCATGAAACGGAAATTGGATGTTACAATTGAAGCCTTTGCATGTTAAGAATGATAAGTTCCATTTATTAATGTTTCTATAATCCGTCATAATTCCGATAACGTTAGCTCACCATTTCTCATTGAATTTCCGCTTGTTACTAAAGTTCGTTGAAAACCGATATGTAATATTAACTGTATGTGTATGCTATATACGAAACACAAGGTCGATTATCGAGAATCGGCTAACAATAACGTTGATTTCGCGAATTAAACTTTCAACGGCGGTGTCAGATAAGCATTAATTGCACGTCAGATTCGTGAGATTCCGCACTGGCATAATTCGTATCAGGGTGTCGACTATGATGGACGTGCTGTCTGTCAATGTCACGTTTTTAAAAGTTCTGCGGAACTTTCTAAAAAATTGCGAGCTCCCACTTCTCTACGGCCAAACGAATCCGATAAAAGGGACGGGATATTGAAATATGAAAATGAAATGGATATCAATGAGATATACGTACCAAATATGTTAATTGCGTGAAATGGCCGATTGATAAGTTTTCCCGTAAAAATCTCTTCATCACGAACCAAACATATCCTATTAAATCGTTGAATATCTTTTATCACAGAAAAATATTAGCCTAATTTTCGTGATTACGAAAACAATCGCGTTCGTGTCGCGTATGTATGTGTGGGTGTGTGTGTGTGTATGTATATATGTTTCGTACTTACGGTAATTATTAAAATTTTCATACGACGTCTAATGTGAAGACAGGAACAGCTTCGTTCCAGACATGAAAACAAGTGTCTCTATTTGCACAGTTGTTTTATCGCAACTTGGACCGTCAGCACGTTGTCAGCGTTGTCGTTAGCGTAATTGCTAAGCGCCCGAAATGTTTCGTACGACCAGGTGTGCAAGTAAATTATGTGCTCGCCAATCGGATCAAATCAGTCGGTTTGATGTCATCATTAACTTTTTGCTCTAAATCGTCGGAATGAAATATCGAAATAACGCGATTACTCATTACTCATGTATTTTTTCTCAAGCACATCACTACATAACAACCAGTTTAAGGTACCCACTCGAGCTCGAAGGGGAAACTTTCGCACGCGGCCCGTTGTTAATTAAAAATTGAATCTTACGCGATCCAGTCTCAAAACTTGGAATTTCCTTAAGCCAGCTTTATTAAATTTTTTAATTTCCATCACACTTCGCACGACGCGTAAAGTCGCACATCGCTATCTCCGGGTTCTGAATGCACTTAGCAACTGCATCGCTAATCGAAAGCGCGTTTCTCTCATCTTCGATCGCGCGGATCAATGGTATCGCGTCCAATTCTCAT